TAAATGGCAAAACAGCATGATTTCCAACCACAGCCTTACTCCTCAGGTATATATGATAGGCTTTATAAGAGAAGCATTCTGGTGGCAGGAGTAGGGTTGGAATGAGTACTTAGCAGCTTTTTTGATCCTGACAACTTTTGACATTTTGTACCAGTGGAGAATTCTTGTGGAGACAGAGAGATTTCCTGGAACAGCAGCTGGGAGAAATGCTGGGTACTGGTTTTTTTCCCCAGTCTTGCCAATTTCCTAAGCAAGATTATATTTGACATTACTGCCACTGCTTGTGCTTGAAGTGTTATCCTCCACAGAATTTCTTCTCTATTTTTGCTGCTCTTATCAATTTCAGACTGTTAACACTGCTCAGGTTCATAGGGTAATAGTAGTCAGCAACACAACTGAAATTGACAGGAGCAGATGAGGAATACTGCATCCGATACTATCAATTCCTGTGTAGTATCTAAAGAATGGTGCACTAGATTTGGGGGAGAAGAAACAAAGGACATTTCACTGGCCAGAAAATCACAGGGAAGGGAAAGAAAAAGGCAAAAAAAAAATCCCACAGGAAGCTGTGGGACTGAGACACCTCTAGATTTACAACTCTAGTCAAAATGGTGTGTTGCCTGTCCTCCTGGGCACGTCACACTCAAGCTATTAGGATGAGTGAGGAAACATTCCCTACAAATTACAGGTCCCCTTTTTGTCTGGCTGCTATTTTCCAGGAACACATTTTGCCTGGGTGTCTTTGACTGGGGAATACCAAATGTCTTGCTTTCAACAATCTAGGCTGTCTCATCAGGATATGAAAAAAGTATACAAATAATTATAAAACCTAGCAAGATTCCTCATCTCCAGCCCAAAGTGAGACAAGGTGCTGTTCCCCCCCCCATAAGACCTCTGATTACCTAAAATATCTGTAGTGTCATTCTCCCTTGAGAAACAAACCTCACAAATTACACACATTAAGACAGAAAGCACAGAAGATCCTACTGGTTGTTTAAAAACATGCAATCAACTCATCTAGTGCTTCAAATTCTTAAATAAAAGACAGCATGGTTTGGGGCAATCCATCCACTATGCTAAATTGGACAATTTCAGGCAAAAAGCTACATTTTTGTGCAAAAGATTCTTCTTGCCAAAGTGAGAAATATGTCGAGTGTCAGGAAATTCTTTGCCATCCTTATTATGGAGAAGGCTGATGTAATTGCTCACTCTTACACTTGTAACGATGAGACTGGCAAGGGTTTACCTCTCTAGTTCTGACCATCTTCTAAACATTTCTTTTAAAAATAGAATCACTAATCATCACTCCAAAAAATCCACAAAACAACAACAAAAACAAAACCTCACAGATCCATTGCCTAGAAATTTTGTTTTGCTTCAAGGAACTCCTTGGCTCATCAAAGAACTTTTGGTTGCCATGTGATTGTTTGAAGAACAAATGTTTGAATTGGAGAACAAATGTTCAATTCAAACATTTTATATGATGTGATCAAGTCTCTATTTTTAGTAACAATACTATCAATGGGAGCCAACCAACCATGTCTTTTTTAAAGGACATGAGTACTTTTGGTACAATGTAAAGGTTTTGATTTACATGTTACACTTAGTTTACAGATGAATTTTACAGCAAAGATTATTTGCAGGTAGAAAGAGTGTGGGTATGTAAGTATATAAATACAAATGCTGACCTTATTTGTTCTTATGAGCTAAACAAGAAGAACAGTTTTTTCCTCCTTGCCTTCAGGATGCAAGACCCCCTCCCCTCTGTGTGTGTGTGTGGTTTCAGAGAATGTGTGCATCTGCAAGAATGAATTTTTGTGCATTTCGGTAAATGCACAAAATTTAAAATGCTGGTGATTGCTCCTTTGTTGGATGGTTAGGAGCAGAAGCATTGTTTGTCTCAACGTACATGCTTCGTTTCACAAAGATAAAAGACAGTAGAGATGTTTTGTGCAAGTTTTACAAACCACCATGGAAAAAAGGAATTATTATCTCAAGTGTCACACATATGTGAGATCCTTCATGGAGGTTGGAGAAATCTTGGCACACTGTGTGGTTGTGTCAAGGCAGACGGTCTCAACTGCAACTAGGACATTGGCCAAATGTCTTCTCATCCCTATTTAGATGTAGAAGAAGACTAATTGCTGATCTGAAATAAGAAGGTGTACTGTACAATCTTCCCTAAATGACAGATATGATGAAAATCAGAAGTATCAAGGAGCATGGAAGAACTAGAGCTATAGCATCTGTCTGAGCCTTAAAAATCTGCTTAAATGGATGTAAATGGCTTTATGGCATCCAAACCTGAGTTCAGTTAACAAAAAGAATACATTAATAGGATCAGCCAGGAACACATTTGAGAACACAAGATTCTTAAACATAGTGACACTGAATCTTATAAGCCCGGATGTGTTTGCACTAACAAAAGTAGAGCCATTATAATACTTACTAATTCCAGGTACATTACTTTTTTCAGCTACGCATTGTGTGTATCATATGTCATCAAGTCAGAACTGATTTATAGCAACTCTGGATTTCAAGGTAGGTGAGATATTTTAGGAGTGGTTTCACCAGTTCGACACACCTCCACTGAGCTTCTATGACCAAAGAGAGATTTGAACCCAGGTCTACTGAGTCCTTGTCTATCATTCTGTCTATTACATCACATGGGGTATGTAACTGTGTATTAGCATCATAAATATTTGCATTTATACCCTGTCTTGGGGCACAGAGAATTGATAATTCTTGCAACCTACAGACCAAGACCTTGAGAAAAAGAGGATGCAACAGCAAAACCACCTCTGATTCTCAATTTTTGGGAAGCCTGCAATAGTATTCTATTATGAATACTCCAAGAAAACTCTTGTTCCGTCTTCCCATTTTAAGTACATGCACGTTCCAGGCTGTAATTCTTTTTTGAAAGATATGCATAAGCAGGATGAATGGAGAGAATTTGCAGAGAATGTCGTTGAAATATTCTTGCATACATCATTTTAAAGAATGGCTATACATACCAACTATCTAAATTTGCTTCTGCATATACATTTCAGTTGGGTGGCTCAACTATGCCACCAGTCTGAAGTAGACAAAAGCCTTCGAGAAGCATAGGGCTTAAAAAGACAAGGGAGCCTCCCAGAAAGCTTTAGGGTAAGCACAATGGAATATGCAGGGTCCCAGCAGTGTAGGAGAATCAGGAGCTACTGTGTAGACGACAGACTCGCCTGACGGATACATTCTATCCGCTTATCCAGAGCTTCCCTCCTTGAGTTTCAGAACTTCCCCCAGAAACACCGTCAGAGCTAGATATACAAATACTTAGTTATAAACACTGAGAAACTAATGAGAGGAGGGGGAAGCATTTTGAATAAAGAAGGTTGATGGGTCAAGCCCACTCCAACCTTTTTAAAGTGCTACCAAACTCTATTTCCCAACCCCCTTCAAGCCACAACTGTTGCTTTCTTCCCACCCCCTTTATTTAATCTCATTTCTGATTGTTTGAAATGTCTGTTCATGACAAGAGAAGGAAAAGTGAAGAGAACCTGGTTGGGCCATTGGGATAATATTCAGGTGTAACTGTAGATTTCTCTCTCTCTCTCTCTCTCTCTCTCTCTCTCTCTGTGTGTGTGTGTGTGTGTGTGTGTGTGTGTGTTAGTATCAAATGAATTTATTTTTGCATAGTATTTCCAGGCAAACAGATACTTCAGTACAAATACTGTTCAGCTACTGAAAGGAACCTGATTTTCCACATGCACCGTCTGCACAATATAAAACAAACATGCTACACCTAAAAGTTAACAAACTGTATCACATTCTCCGCAGCCAGAATGCTTTAACACAAGATTGAAACAACTACAAGGCAATTCCAGTTACTTTTAAAAAACTTGTTATGTTCTTTCAGGAGGAAAATGTATCAGGACTACTCATGATTTCCCGCTAATACTGCCTTTCAAAGCAAAGAACTGCATCAGGCAACTTTAGACAGAAGAAACATGCCTTTCATATACTGTTAGGAGAATAAAAGAAACCTGACTGTTTTTGACAGGGCGAGAAAGGCCTCATCGGGATACACAATACATCTTCTGCCCAGGAAGTCTTTCTTTGCAGTAGACAACCATGTGCTAGCCTGATAACCTACTTTATTCCAGCTTTAAGTTCACCATTATTGATGAAATCCTCCAGCACAGGTGGCCACTTTATCATGCACATGTCAGCAATGAACTCATAGATTCAAATAATTCCAGGTCACAGAACAAAAATAAACCACCAGCTCAATATTCCATGTGAAGAACTGCTTTTAAAACCAAAAGAGAAAACCTGTGCAAACCCTATGGAACTCAGGTGTGAACGCAACTTACTGAACCTGTAAAGCAATTACTGCATCAACATACAGAAGGCTAGATAGAACAACAAGCTCCTTGTTTTTATATAAAAAAAATCATAACATCATCTAAATGCACCTGCATTTTAGCATGACTGATAAGGAACAAAGACAAATAGAAGTGGTGAAAAAAGAAATCTGTATTTTTGGCCCATTGCAACTCAATAAGCAAGTTAGGTGGCAAAAGCCAGACTGAGGGCCGTGTAACACATTATGCAGAATGAAGTGGTAGGTTGGGATAGCATCGTGCTGAACTGTACCACTTGCAAATGAGGGTAGGAATAACATATTTTTCAATCTTATCTTCCACATAAAAAGCTCCCAACATGGAGTAAATCACCAGATTACACCAAACTTTTTTTCCCCTGGTGTAAGAGTGTCCTATACAAATGACATACTTTTTGCCCCCATGCAAAAGACGAATGGACTATAGTGAACTTCCCCATCTCTGCAGCTTGCAGTGGTATTGTCCAGAATTCTGCCACCTTATTCCGCCAAGTTATTCTGCATCGCAGGAACAACTGCTCTGTTTTCCATTCTTGTCCAAACATCTGGAGAAAAGCGATCTCTGGACAGTGTGAGCCAACAGAAGAAATAATCCTACACTCGCAGACATACTCACCCAGAAGAGAAGATTGAAGACAAACATGAGGTACTTAATGCACTGCAGGCAGTTGTGAGCCATGCTGCACCTCTTCAGTTCTAGAAGGAAAATAAAGGAGAGATCCAAGTAAAAGACCACATACTTGTTCCCCTTGGGGGAGGTGTATTTAGCCTTGGTGGCCTTAGGGCCAGGGTTGGTGTGGAATCCAAAAAAAGAGTTGTTCGCGGCTCCAAACTGGCCGCCATACATGCTACTGTAGCGACGGAAGGCGCCATTTGGGAAACTGTAATCCTTGCTGTCCAAAGAAGGGCTCCTGTGGTATGTCGATTCATCCGTGCTAGATCTGCGCATCGTGACGTCAAAAGTGTTCAACAGTTATGAGGGACAACAATATTTGCAGGTTTGGATATTTTACTGGGAGGGGCAACTTGCAGCCAGTTTCCTTATATGCCTCCCCGTCCCCCCCACACACCCCTTATTGTTTTCGGCCAGCTCTCCTTTTGCCTGCCATCCTGTCCAGGAGTAAAAGTGTGCTGCAAAAACAGCAGCCAGTTGGCGAACTGGAGCCTGCCCAGCCAGAAGTTGGGGCACCAGCGTGCCTACTTGCGGGGAAGTCTCTCGTGCACGGATAACATTTACTTTGGTGTCACAATCCCCCTCCTCTCAAAAAGACGGGGCGAGAGGGAAAGATCCTGTACCCAGGTAAACTTATTCTGGGTTTGGCTTTGTTAAACGAGAGGGAGCGAGGAAGCCAGTGAGATGAGTGGTCTTGTTTTTTTTAAAATCCCGAGTGCCTTGTAAAAACCGCAACTCCGCCTTGTCCCTCCACGGCCAGGGATGCTGGACAGAGGCTGAGAGCAGAGATTATCCAAACAGCAAGTAGCTCCGGGATCGGGCTCCTCTGGCACACATGGCGCTGCCCAGGAAAGGCTCGGCTCCCTTTAAGCGGGTCCCCGCCTCCCCTCGCGCCGGGGAAGGCGATCGCAAGGTCCGGCCAGGGGACTCGGGGCTTCATTCGCCGCGCTCGCCCTCCGCTCAGCTTCCGATCCGGTCATACTCGCTCGCTCTCCCTCCCTGCCTCTGCGCTGCTAACCACGCCGTCTCCCCGCGCGCGCGTTCTGCCTGCGTCGGAGGCGAGAGGCAGCAGGAGAGAGAGAGAGAGAGAAAGGAGCTCGGCTCCGGGCAGGCAGCCCAGGAATGCCGGCTCAGCACTCTCACCCGCTCGTGCTTGCTTCCCCCCCTCCGCCTCGCCGTCCCCGGCCAATCAAATTGACGGCGGGCCCCCTCCCTCCCATTTTGCCTTCTTTAACATTTCAGCGCGCGCGCACCCCACGCGCCACTCCGCTCAGCTGCTTTTGCTCCGCGGGCAAACCCAGCACGAGCCGCTTGGAGCCAATCAGCGTCCACCGGGAGAAAACGACCGGGCCTGCCCGCGATTCCACCCGGAGCTCTTCCCCCCCCCAAGGGAGGGGGCAGTCCCGCTTCAGCAGGTGCGCGGCGGCGTCCCTGATTTAACCATGCCAGAGAACACTGGCTCCCTGGATTGACAGTCCCCTAGGAAGGACCCCGGGAGGGGGGGGGGGTTGCAGAGGGATCGCTCCGGCAAAAGCAAAGGCGGGCATTGCCCTCGTATGAGAGGAAGAACTCCGGCCCTTTTTGAAGAGGCTGCTCCTCATCCCCCCCCACCCGCTTTTTTATTATTACATTATTATTTTTTATCTGAGACGTCCGGGCTGCTGGTGCTGTTGCTGCAGCTGTGATTCCCGACGGTGGGGACGTCTGTGTTTCCCTCTCTTGTTTTAAGAGCAGATAAAACAATGTGTGGATGTGTCCCCTCTGTTATATAGCCAAAAGGGACTCCAGATTGTATTGGCTGTTTGTGCTGTCAAGTCGGAATCGACATAACAACAGCCGCCCTAATGGGGCTTTCAAGGTAAGTGGGATATTTAAGGAGTGGTTTTTACCAGAACCACTTCCCTCCCACCCTGCAAGATACCATCGCAAAGCAGGTCGATTCACAATTTATAGGTGTGGGGACCTTCATGTTACCATCAAACTGGACCTGGTGGGGGGAAAGCGGTTTCCTCAACTATTACCTCTACTATTAGGAGCACAAGCAGGAGGAGTTTTATGCTTACAGGGCAGGAAAGATTGTCCTGTGGTCACAAGCACTAGGAAATATCATTGAAACAGAAACTCAATGTTAGACTGCATTACCACAAGAATACAGCTTGTAAATTGTTTTAATTTCATAATAAGCAATGCTATTATTGGTGCTTCAGGAAAGCCTGAGATGCATTAAGATCTCTCTTCAGAAGATGGAGTATGTTTTTGGAGTACTAAGACTGCAATACAATGATTGTAGAAAATCAAATGGAAGGGGAGATAACATTAAAAATAACACACAAGCACAGGATTTTCTTTCAGGCTCCAGCTTATGTCTTCCTTTAAATCTTGATTTGACAATGCTACAAATAGCTTTCTCTTCCTGGTCCTCCATGCAATAATGTGGGCAGACTATCACTCAATATTTCCCCTTTGCTTTGCTTACTTTAATGGCTAACTCTTCCAGTCAAGATGTTTTGCTAACACTATGCCTCTTGAGTGCTGTTTTTCGCCTGACTTTATGCCAACCCATTATCTTTACCTGGGAATCTGTGACTTTGTAGCACCACCCGCAAATGCTGGCTTCTTTCAAATACAGAGGAGCTTTGGTTGAACTCCAAGTGCAAGGTTTTGCCTGTGACTGGTACAGACTTAAGTACAGTCTGTAGTCTGATGGTACCCTGCTGCCCCTCAGGATGAGGGATCACTTTCACAGTGCACATAGCACTTGCAATATATCAGAAGTGAAGCGGAAGAATTAACTGGCTAACAATTTAAACTCCTTCCTGCAGAAAGACTACATGCAAAATGAAAGCAAAATTATTGTCTGAATCATATTTCTTGAAGAAACTTACAGGAAAAAAATTCTACTTAAAAAGAAAAATAGAGAAAGTTTAGAATAGATGATATCACAACCCATTGCATCAAGGTCACCCTTGATGAATGACCTCATCTACTTACTTGAACAATAAGAAATCTGTAACAATCATCTGTTTTTCCTTTCTGTAACTCATACTCATTTGCAATCACAACCATACACTATGATACCCATAATCTTAGAACTGCAGAGCTGGGAGGGACCCTATGGATTATCAAGTCTAGCCCCTGCCAGGAAGGCACACTGGGGAATTGAACTTCCAACCTATGGCTCCATATATTTGTGCTATCTTGAGATGAATATGTGAGACAGTAATATCACACAAAAGAAGTCATGCTCATTGGGTTCAAAAACTTGGCACTCCTGGCCAGCTTTGATTAGTTTAAAATGCCACAAACATCCTGGTGAGTCTACATATAGCTTTAAAATTTCATATAAAAACACTTTCATATATAAGAACATGTTTGATTTTTTTAGTGTGTTTTAATATTGTATTTCCAAGGTTTGAGTTTTAGAGTTAAACAGGAAGACAGAATTGAATCTGATAGCAAAAGCAAAAGTAGAGAGAATCACAGGCAGCTGCTGCTGCTATGGGGGTGGACAGTGAACAGCCATTATCCAGAGACGCCGCAACATGTTCCCCCAAAACGAGGGGCTCCAACTTTGATGTTCTGGTTCCTCCTCCCCCCAGTAATGAATCTTTCCCCGGTATTTTATTGTTTTATCGTTTTATTTATGCAGCATGCCAATAAAGGTTTCTGTACTGACAGTGAACAGCAGTGAACTAATTTGTCAAGAATAAATTCTGGTAAAGAAAGAGGAAACAAAATCAGAGCAGAAAGGATGGAAAAAGCAAATAGAAAAAGCCATAGCAGCTGCTCCTGCCAGTCAGACAATACTCAAAGGCACATAGTTTGATCCTGAAATAGAGGCTGGCTAAGAAAACTCCTGTAGAAGTGTCTGAGCAAGATTTTCCAACTGTATACTGAAAGAAGAGCTCGTGGTATAGCTGACTAAGATTTAACCATTACTCTTGGCTGCCAATTGTTTTAATTGTTCTCAGTACTCTATGCCAATGGTTCCCAGTCTTAAGTAACCCAGGTGGTTTTAGACTGCAGCTCCCAGAAGCTTTCATCACTAGCTGTGCTGGCTGGGGTTTCTGGGAGTTGCAGTCCAAGAACATCTGGATTACCCAAGGTTGGGAACCACTGCTCTGTGCCATTGATAGTCACATAATTCACACCAGTCTTGGACCGGAAATTTAAAAAACCTGAAAAGATCCCTATTTCTCAGCCACATGTTGAGACCAGGATCTTGTAAAGTGAATTTCTAAAACAGAAGCTTCAACTTTATAGAATGAGCTGATGTACCAGTCTGAATCACAGGCGGGGGGGGGCAGATATAGATGTCATTGTCATTGTCCACCTCCATAGACAAGGGGTTGTCAGCCAAACAGAATGCTCAGATTTAAGACAATGGGAAAGATGAGTGATTTGCAGCCCTTTGTAGGCAGAGAAAAATAATGAAATCTACAGCACTACCATCCAGGTCAAACCTTGTACTCAGCTGATTCTACAAGATGGGTAGCCTTCATTTCAGAACTGTATTTTAAGCTATAAGAGCCTATTCTTAATATCTGACCAAACCTTTCTCCTCCTCTGCCCCACACCATTTACAATGCCCAACTGATGAAGAATCCTACAAGACTTGAAAGCTAGCCTGATTTTAAAACATAAAGATATCACTCATTCTTCTTTCCAAAGAGTGAAACTCAAACTTTGTAAATTCCCTTTTAAGAAGTAAACACCCCATCCTCATAAGCAATATGAATAACAAAAAGAATGAAGGATAAGAAAGAGAGGTGATATGTTTGAGAATAAACTTTTGCTCCGAAGTATCTCTTTGTTAGATATGCCAGTGTTTCTCCAGCTACCAGTTACAGTGGCAAAAGAATTTATATGCTGTATATCATGCATGCTGAAATATCTTCTAGCTTGGGAGACCAGCTGAAACTCAAAGCATCAGAAATTCAAACATACATAAGATACAATTGCTGCCGCTGTCAACTACAAAGCATTCAATCAAGCACAAGAATTGGCACAAACGTCCTGAAAG